GAGAAAATCCTGAAGGAGCAGGAGCGGCTGGCCTACATCAACCCTGACTTGGCTTTGGAGGAGAAGAACAAGGGCAATGAATGCTTCCAGAAAGGTAGCAACCCTGTCCATGAGGCCTGGCTCTGCTGTGTGTGTGTGACTTCCTGTGCCTGCTTGCAGGACACACTTCAGGAGAGGGGAGGGCGACTTTTGGCTATCATAAAGTTCTCTTTCTGCTGAGTGTTGTGACTTTGGGGAGTTTTTGAGACAGGGTTTCACTGTGTAGCTCTGACTGTCCTGAAGCTCTCTCTGTAGACGAGACTGACCTCAAAACTCAGATTCACCTGCCTCTACCTCCCAAGTGCTGGGTGTACACCACTACCGCCCAGCCAATTTTGGGGTCAGAGGTGACTTGTGTTTTTAATCCCAATACTCAGGCAAAGGCAGGAATTCTTGAATTCTTCAGGCTTGTCTACAAAAAGGGTTCAGGCAAGCTGTTGGCACTTAGTAAGACCCTGTCTCAAAAAAAAATCCAGGGGCTGGAGAGGTGGCTCCAAGGTTAAGAGCACTGACTTGCGCTTCCAAAGGACCCGGGTTCAATTCCCAGCACCCACATGGCAGCTTACAACTGTCCGTGACTTTAGTTCCAGGGGACTGGATACCCTTACACAAACATACATGCAGGCAAAACACTAATGTTCATAAAAATTGGGGAAGAAAATTTTTTAATCTCTTTTTCGTGCATGGAGCAATAATTGGAGTTGAATCTAGTGTATTGACCATGTTAGGTAAGCTGTCCACCACTGACCTATATTTTCAGTCCCTAAAAACCTCAGTGTGAGGGTGTACACATGAAATCCCAGCAACTGGGAGACTGAGACAGGCAGATAACTTGGGGTCCCAAAACAGCTTAGGTTACAGAGTGAGATCCTGTGTCAAAATAACAGAAGTAAATCATCCTTAGTTAGCTGGACATGATGATGCACACTTAAAATCCTATCACTCAGGAGGCTTGAGATAGGGCTGTAGCCTGAGCCACATAATGAGTTCCAAGCCAGCTGAGCTGATAGAAAATGTCTTTATAACTGTCTAGGGGACTACCCCCAGGCCATGAAGCACTATACAGAAGCCATTAAACGGAACCCAAGAGATGCCAAACTGTACAGTAACCGAGCTGCCTGCTACA